TCCCCCCCCCCCCCCCCCACTCTGCCCTTTTCGTACATCACCTCCATTCTCATTATGTCTCTCTCTGACGTCTTTCTGCAAAGGTTTGTCACTCCACTCATATAAACGCTTTTACTCAAGTCCGAATAGCAAAGAGATGCAAGGCCTCACAAAGACAGGATAATCTATATTTAAAAAGTAGTTGTAGTAGGTGTTAAATAGGAATACGCAAGTAGCAAAACCAGGTATCAGTATTGGGTATTGTGGAAGCCGCCGATATCAGCCAACGATACTCAAAACGCCCCAAAAATCAAAGTTGGGTTTCCTGTCTGGGTTCATTTTTCAAGTAAAAGTTTTGAATCCGAGTCAGGGTTTCAAATTGGTTTTTGAATCAGGTTTTGGGATTCAAATTAGAATTTCATGTCAAGGTTAAGGTCTTAAATTAAGGTTTTTAGACAGGCTTTTGGAAGCATTTTAAACATTTTGCTGAAGACCTGAAGAGAAAGTCTGCATGCATTATTCCATGTAACTGCCGAAGAGATGACAAAGATGGCTTTCCTCACGTCTGCGTCCTCCTGCGGCGCTCTTCTCCCAACCATCTGCTTGGCTACACAAGATAAATGTGACACCGCGACAGCGCGAGAGACCTGAGGGGAAACCGCAGCGAATGGGAAAGATACGCTGAAGACCTGAAGAGAAAGTCTGCATGCATTATTCCATGTAACTGCCGAAGAGATGACAAAGATGGCTTTCCTCACGTCTGCGTCCTCCTGCGGCGCTCTTCTCCCAACCATCTGCTTGGCTACACAAGATAAATGTGACACCGCGACAGCGCGAGAGACCTGAGGGGAAACCGCAGCGAATGGGAAAGATACACTCAAAAAAACATCCCGTTTAAGGAGGCTGATTCACGTGATCCAAACGGGAAGATCAATATTTCCTTTCATTTCATGAGACTTTCAGCCATCTTGTTTGTCTCATTGACTGTTTTTTCAAAAAAAATTGCAAATCTTGCCGAATCAAATAGATTTCAATGTCGATTCACGTGATCCAAACGGGAAGATCAATATTTCCTTTCATTTCATGAGACTTTCAGCCATCTTGTTTGTCTCATTGACTATGTTTTTTAAAAAAAAATTGCAAATCTTGCCAAATCAAACAGATTTCAATGTGCGACTACTGTATTTTGCTGGTATCGGATCCCAAATCTTGCGTTATCTGATCAAATTGATGATCCATCCACCTTTGGTATGAGGATGTATCGTTCTATGTATCGACACCGCTTGCCCAATATTTCCATGGTTTACGGCTCGGCACCAAATATTGAAAAATCAAATCAATTTCATTTTTAAAAATGTGTCTGTATTTGCAAAACCAACCCTGTATTTACGTATTATTGAATATCAATACCAAATGTTACAGTATTGGATCAATTTGATTATTCAAACGTATTGCTATCACTATGGGTAAGCATAATCGGAACCTTTTTTGTACTTGGTATTGAAGATCGAGAGCAACTCTTGCCGTTTCGCACACCACAGCCTCTCGAGAAAAATGCTGAAAACCAATCATTATCTTTATGTGGACACATGGCTGCATTATTACTTGCAGCCATTAACCTTGGCCTATTACTCCAAGCGTGTAAGACCTCTCGTCTTGAAATAGTCCTTTTGTGGGACCCGACAATGTTTTGTCTCCAGGGAATGCCGGAACTTTTCGCTTTCCTCCTTTCTTCCTGCCCTCTCTCCTGCACTCCTTCCTTCTCTCCATCCTTCCTTCCTTCCTTCCTTCCTTCCTTCCTGCCCTCTCTCCTGCACTCGTTCCTTCCCTCTACTTTTTAACAAGAAAATCTCCCTTCATTGATTTTCTGTTGCTTTGTGACCAAAAATAGTGTCGCCGTGCAGCGAGCTCCCTTCTGTGCGGCAGGGCTGCGAATAGAGGACAGAATAAATCCAAATAAACATGCAATTTAGAGAGGAAATTGAATGAGATGACGGTCTTCAGAAGCTTTAAGAACATAGCTGTTTTTTTTTGTACCCGTGGGGGGGACAAAAAATCCTTCTCAACTAACCATATAGGAGTAGCAACATCCAGTCTGAAGCTGCAATGAAGACAAATTAAGAGGCGTTTGTGTAATATCAACCGCCTTCACAGATCGATATCGTTTGCAGAGGTAGGAGTCTTGACTACATTTCAAATCTTAACCTTTAATTTTCAAGCAAATCGAGGTTACTGTGGAGAAGTCATGCAAATCAAGTTCAGATCCCCAAGCAATTTGAGTCAAGTCAACTTTATTGTCAAATGCGCTACGTGTGCAACATACAGCACAGATGCAATTTCTTTCCTCAGGGGAGAGAGAGAGAGGAGCCGCTGCGGGTGCCCGCGCCGCCATCAAAAGAACAGTTCACATAAAATGACCAAATAATACAACACAACACATGAGACACAGACAGTCATACGATCTTAACCACTTTTCTGCATACACGTTGTTTGAAGCAGTTATAGATGAAAGATCCTTTGATTAAGCAAGTCAAAAGTCAAGTCATAAAATCCCGCTAAGAAACAATGTCCACTGCTCACAAGAAGTTGGTGATTTTCCAGCTTTCGGGTGAAATTGCAGAGTGAACCTGAAATTCACGGTAACCTTTACATCAGAAGAGGTGGCATTTAGACTGCGAGTATCAGCTTAATGGTGGGTTGCTACTTGACAGGTTTGCGCAGGCCACACCAAAAAATACTTTTCAAATGGGAACAGGCCTGAGAAGACAGAAGCGAATGTCTTTTCGTGCGTATTAGACAAGCAAGTCTTATAAATTGCCGTGATTTTCCAGCTTTCGGGTGAAATTGCAGAGTGAACCTCAAATTCACGGTAACCTTTACATCAGGAGAGGTGGCCTTTAGACTGCGAGTATCAGCTTAATGGTGGGTTGTTACTTGACAGGTTTGCGCAGGCCACACCAAAAAATACTTTTCAAATGGGAACAGGCCTGAGAAGACAGAAGCGAATGTCTTTTCGTGCGTATTAGACAAGCAAGTCTTATAAATTGCCGTGACTTGAGTCAAGTTACATGACCCCCACGTGTGGTTGAGCCTTGACTTAACCTGTTATTTCTCACCCCGTTACAGAGGGTCTTTATCAGTTGGACGATCCACGCTGTGCGTCACAAAGCGGCATCGAGGGACTGGAGCATGGAGAGGTATGACGCTCACTTTTCAAATGGGAACAGGCCTGAGAAGACAGAAGTGAATGTCTTTTCGTGCGTATTCGACAAGCAAGTCTTAAAATTGGCGTGGCTTGAGTCAAGTTACATGACCCCCACGTGTGGTTGAGCCTTGACTTACCCTGTTATTTCTCACCCCGTTACAGAGGGTCTCTATCAGCTGGATGATCCACGCTGTGCCCCACAAAGCGGCATCGAGGGCCTGGAGCATGGAGAGGTATGACGCTTATCTGAAACACTGAACTTCACTGTGATTACAGAATTGATAGTGGTTACTTGGAACATAGCGTAGCTGACAAGAATTCAAGTCGACAAGGTCTAAGCAGAACCGCCTTGTGAGCACTAACACACAATTGTTTGACTTGGAAGATGGAGTACCAGAAAAAAAAAAAAAAAGTCTTTGGTATCGAGCCACACGCTGATTCACCATCGGGTCCCGTCCATCTTCTGTAGAACTCCAAATGTCCGACGCACGTGCTGCTTCTGGTGGTGCACGGTGGCAACATCCTGGACACGGTGGGCGGCGACCCCAGTGCTAAGGCGGGCGACGTGGCCACCCTGGCGTCCGTGCTCGACAAGGTGACGCAGGCGCACTTCCAGCCCGCCGCCGAGCACGTGATGATCAAATTGGTGCCGTGCCCTGCGGTGTGCGCCGAAGCCTTTTCGCTCGTGTCCAAGTGAGTGTTTCGTTATTCTGGTTGGATTAGCTTCTCTGCAGGAATTTCCTTTTTTTTTTTTAGCATGTGAAATAATGTTCCCTGGCAGAGGTATCTTTGTGGATTAAGTGATAATTGATGTTTGACTTGGATTCATCTCCCATTTGTGGCGTTCTTTTCTTAATGGATGTGGACGGCTGCTGTCACTGTGTCCTCGTTATGAATTATACAGCCTCGCATCCATTAAAGCTCCCATTTTTGCAGCGCAGAGCTCCTTTGTTGAAAATATGAGGAGACATAACACCTTTTACAACTTTATTTGCTTTCTTTTTTAAAGGTGCAAATGATGCCGTTTCACATTTGGATCCGCATCGTTTGGTTTTTAAGGCTTAGTGATGTTTTGGTTGAATTGTCGCAGACGTGTTTGGCGACGCAGAAGGAACAGAGCAGTCCTTTGGGCGCGATACCGCTGCTTAGGTTTCACGTACACGATCCGCACTCCATCTGGTTAGTTTCCCATCCTTGTCAGAATTATCCGACCATGGATACCGGAGACTCAGATCAATTTAGGCATGCTTTGGCCAGCCAGGGACGACTGATGGGACAGCAGGAGACCGCGTTAACGGAGCTCCGTGGTGCGGTTGCCCTCCCGGCCCACCGGTTTGATGAATTAGGCTCACGCGTTGAGCAGTTGGGCACCCGAGGAACGCACCCCTCGGATTCCCAAGCTGCCATGATTGAGATGCCTCCTGCCTCGACAGTGTATCAAAAACCAAATTTGCCTCATCCATCACGCTATGGTGGTGAGCTCGGACTAAGAGAGCAATTTGTTCACCAGTGCTCATTAAAACATCCAGGCATGTGTGTATCTTGCATACATGGCCAATAAATCAAATTCTGATTCTGATAGTTGAAGCCCGAAGTTGCGCCACGGAAGAATTTTATCCGACCATGGATACCGGAGACTCAGATCAATTTCGGCATGCTTTGGCCAGCCAGGGACGACCGATGGGACAGCAGGAGACCGCGTTAACGGAGCTCCGTGGTGCGGTTGCCCTGCCGGCCCACCGGTTTGATGAATTAGGCTCACGCGTTGAGCAGTTGGGCACCCGAGGAACGCACCCCTCGGATTCCCGAGCTGCCACGATTGAGATGCCTCCTGCCCCAACAATGTATCAAGAACCAAATTTGCTTCATCCGTCACGCTATGGTGGTGAGCTCGGACTAAGAGAGCAATTTGTTCACTAGTGCTCATTAAAACATCCAGCTATGTGTGTATCTTGCATACATGGCCGATAAATCTGATTCTGATTCTGATAGCTGAAGCCCGAAGTTGCGCCACGGAAGAATTTTCTCAGGTAAATTGAGTTACTGACCTTGATAAATTTTGGCCTCTTCAACCACGTATCTCCAGGAATCATGTCAAGTTACGGAGAATTTTTTTTTGTCATGGCGTCTCGAATCCCTCCAATCGTGTTCGGGCTAGCTCGGCTGAAAATACGTAATGCTGCTATGAATTGGAGTCTTCCATCACTAGAGAATTGGAGTCTGTTTTGTTATGCCCGGTGTTTAAGATCAACTAAGCTCGAAAATAAGTCAGCTGTCGTTCCGTCCACGGAAAGTAGACATTTTGATCAAGTTCCTCCTGAATATCATGTTTTAAGGAAAGTATTTGGTAAAGGTTTCGTTCAGTCCTTACCACCTCATCGTCCATATGATTGCACTCTTGAGCACCTTGTCAGAAGTTGGGGCTTTCAGCCACGGTTGGGTGTTTCAAACCAACATTAGAAACCAAAGTTAGGGTTACAAACCTGGGTTTGGACTTCAAAGGAGGTTTTCAAGTCAGGCTTAGGGTCTCAAACAAGGGTTAGGTTTTCTCAGTAGGCTTGCAAGACAAAGTTAAGGTTGAAGTCACTTTACGTACTTTATTTATACAGTAGCGTGAACAAAGCTGTGAATAAAAAAAAAAAATCATACAATGTAAGCCACTTGAACATAATACAATTTAAAATCAATCAAACAGTAACAAAGTTAAAATCTTTAAAAACAAATAAGACACATAAACCAGGTTTACGTTTGTGACGTTTTGTGGACCGAAAGCTACGTCTTGCAGAACCTCGCAGGTCCTTTTTCCTCAGTGTGAGAACTGTTGTTCGAAGTGGTGTTAGCGGTCATTACAGTGTTCGTTGTAATGGCGTCAATTATAAACAGTGTTAACCACCAGTACAAATAACGTCATTATAACGTTATAAATGGTGGCATCTGATAAGAATGTCGCTCACGTGGGCGTGCTCAACCTCATTTGGCTGACATGACACAAACACAAGGGATGAACAGGTGGGAAACCGTCGCTGGCTGATTTCCACTTGCGGTGGCTACCAGCTTGCCTGACAAAAAAAGAAAAAAACACGGCGCGGAGGTTGAGCGCGTGAAAAGTTTCACACAAACACGCTGCTTTGGATGTAATTAGAAATGGTGTACTGTCGGGGGGTCCACGTGGAGACGCTTCTTCGCTTGTTCCTTTGCTGGAGACAGCTTGTCGCCCCCCTGCAGTTATTGTCTAATTATCGACAAGAGCTGCTGATGGTAACCTGTCAAAACAACACAAACTCTGCTTTTCCATAAACACACATGCTCACTACAGGAGGTAACTTGCAGCATTGATTGGAATGCTTGACAAATTAGGTTTTCAAGCTAAGGTCTGGTTTGTAAATTAGTGTACTAGGAACTTATTAGCTTTTCGTTTTCGGCATGGCAGGGGGGGCAGGGGGATTCAAATGAGGTTTACAATATCAGATTTTTAGGACTGGGTTAGCAGGGTCTGATGTTAATTAAGCCTTTTGGGTGACGGCTTTACTAAAACCAGCATTGGCCCTGATTTAAAACAATACTTGATGAAATTCATAATTATATATGTCAGCTTTATCCGTGGATGAAATAGTGAAGCGTGTTGTCTCAGAGGCCGAAATGCCCCGCAAGTACGGGCGATCAAGGCAGCCGCTTAAAAAACGAGCGACACTCTCCACTCCCCAATACTATAAATAGATAATGTGATTTTAAAACTATACTTTTTGCCGGCCTACCACTGGAAGAAGGAGAGTAGCGTGTCGTCTCAGGGTCCAAAATGCACATGCGTTGCCAGAGGGCGATCACGGCAGCCACTTAAACTCACACATCTTCACGCCCCAGTATTGGGTTTTTATTGTTAATGGGATTTAAAATATGTTTAACAAAGTTTATGATTATATATGAAAGCAAAGTTCACAATTTCAAATTCTCGGCCCAACATGGCTGATGCTGGCGTCAGAGCCAGAACAGCATCGGGGAAAAATGTTCCACAGCATAAAACGCTGCAGGGTTTTTCCACAGAGATTTCCTTTCACACCCCACCTGCCTACGGAGCCTGCCCACCACCTCTCTGCTAACTTGATGGAAAAGAAACACTTGGACTATTAAAAAGCTGACATGAGCAGAAGGATGGAGAGAAGCCCCGGAGGAGAGATTAAGGGAAGGGAAGATGAGGAAGAGGAGGTCTAGCTCGGACTCTCATTATTCTGGCAGGTCGCGAGTAACAACTGCGACTATTTACGTTCTCACTCTGTTCATGAAGAGATTCCAAGGAGCAAATTGGCTTGTATTTCTACATCCAGAGTGCAATTAAGCCAGAAGCTGGCAGTCAACGCTGTTTTACCCCCCCCTCCCCCCGAAGAGTGAGATGTTTTATCTTTTAACAGCAGGGAGAGTATCCAGGTTGATCGGTAGTGCTATCTTCTGCTCTTAATGAAGCCCCCTTCGGCAGATCGCTTGCGTTGGGCCTGCAGGAGCATCTTCAAAGGCTCTCGATAATGAGAATTAAGAGAACCAAATATAAAATAAGATCGAGATCAAGAAGTCCCTCCTGTGTTCATCATTGTGCTCCTTTTTTTGGATTTCACAACTAAGTGACTCAGTAAGCTGCAGCGATACTAGTTGATTTTCTCAGAGGATGAAAAAAAAATATCTGCTTGTGAGTATTATTATATTGTCTGGCTACCTGTTCAAATAGCCGTGCATCTTCACAAAAGACTGCTCGATACGTCTTTTGTGATACGTGGGGTGTGACCCAATTCAAAGACGTTTCATCTTTAGTTGACCAGATCATTCATCTCTACCCCCGAATTGAAATGATTAAAAAATGTAATCTACTTGGAACTTGGTTCCATTTTTCAGCTTTACTAAAAAAAAAAAAAAAAAAAAACGACTTAGGCCTTTTTTTTAGGAGCGTGATGATATTGAATCGTTTATTTACTATATGCTCCTTGCTGTGCCACCATTTAGCGCACAGACCTGAAATTTTTTTTTAAGCTACTCAAGACAAAAGAGCTTGTCCTAGCGGCAGCTCATATCTTGAAAAATATGTAATTCAAGTCATTCGTAAATTGAGGTATCACCGTATTGTGACACCCCCCCCACCACTCCCCAAAAAAGAATCGTGACATACCTGTACACTTAGGATTGTTTCCGCCCTAGTATACCAATGTCTACATTCCCACCACATGTTCCAAAGTACATGCATGTTCGCCATTATCTTACAAGCATGCTGGAGCTCTGCTTTAAAAAAAAGAAAAAGGAGAAAAAAAAGCAATCTCTCACAAAGGAGCCCTCACAGAGCGCCAGTCAAACAGCATCTCCAGAGGATTCGGATGAATCCTGCATGCCAGACAGCTGCACGTCACATAGTTCAACCATCGTGACGAATCCAGGGATGCTTCACAGCTGCGCATCCTTCTTCATAACTGCTCCGCTGGGACACCAGCCAGGGTTTTTAAAAAAATTGAATACATTTGCTCACCGTGTATTAACAAGCGGAAGTGACAGGAGCCAGAGAGCAACTGACAACGTCTCTTTTCATCCGTGTTCATGAATCTGCATGCCGTTAATTGTTTTCGCAAGTGTTGCTACTCGTGAAAAATGTGTTGTCAGCACTTTTGGAGCGACATGAATTTACGCAGCACATCCAAAACAACACATCAGTCTAATGATGTAGATTATGTAGACTTTGATCTGATTTGGCAAGATAATCTAGATGTGTGTTTCCCAAACTCGTCAGGTGTGCTGCGGGAAATTATTCAATTCATTGAACAGAAAATGACCGACTGTATGCCAGCAAACATATAACAGGCAAAAACAATTACCTGCAAGTACAATGAATTTCTGTTTTCACCTTCTGGCATTCACACAATAACATTATATCTTTGTATTAAAACAGGCCCCAGACCTTACACTGAATAAGAACATTAATTAAATTGAAAATAAAAACCTTTTGTGACATTTTTGTTTGCTAGTGTGGGGTGAGATTTTTTTTTCCACTAAATGTTGGGAAACACTGATTCTGATCAATGTTTTATTAAAATGCATTAAAGATTGTGTTTAAAGGGCCTCTTTTTTTCTAACATCTCAATAATGTCTTAATTATCTGCTTTTTATTGAAATGGGAGGTTCAAACTAGGGTCATTTCAGGTTATGTTCGTTTTGACTCCTGGTTACGGTTAGGAATACACTCTTGAAATTGATGGGTTAAAAGCACCCCAAATTGGGTGAATTATTGCAGCTAAACCAGCGCCGGGTCCAAAAGGGACAGAGGCGATGTTATTTATACTGTTAACTTCAACATCAGTAAACCGCAAAAGTGTCCAAAATGGCGACCGGCTTTAGCTCTTCAGTGTAAAGGGAGCGCAAGTTTCTTGTGGGGTCATTTTCACTGCAAGAAGAGTGAGCGAGTGTGATCCAGACGGCTGACTTTGGGGATGATTCTTAGCGAGTTATTCACTGACTGAATTTATCTAGTTATGCTTGTTTTATTAATGTGTCTGTCAGCACATGTAAAAAGGATCAAATAATTTATTGCTTCGGTAATTATTCTGCGAAGCCCCAGTTTGAGAACCAATGCTATCAATGCTTGAACGTGCTCTCACGGAGCTGGCGCACCTCGGCCACTGATGCGTTGCAGCCTTGGCTGAGCTTCGCTGCCATTTCTTGTAATGCCGCCGATTGATGGATGGCGTTGACAGTCAGTCGGCGCAAGGAGAGCATGACGGGTCTTTTCCCCAGCGCTATCACACTGACGCATAAACATCCATTCAAGTCAACTTGGCTGACACGCACATGCAGGCGCTCACTGGCGCGGGGAGGTTTTATTCTTTGTGACACAACAGCTTTTTCTCCTTATGCACCACCGAGAGAAAGTTTATTGCCACACCTAAAGGAAATTTAAATGTGGACTTTTGGGTTTCATTCATTTTTTTTTTTTTTTTTATCAGGATACTTTCAGGCCATGTCATTGTAATTAAAATACATGCTTCTCATTTACAATTAGGTCAAACTTTTCTTTTTATTTTCTTTTTATTTTGAATTAATCAAGAGAGAAAATGCTGTCCAATTTTAGTAAAAAAAAATGAAAATATTGCCTTGTGTTATGTCATTAGAATTAAAAGAAACTATGATTAAAAAAAATTTCATCTGCTCATCCAAGGTCAGGTTGCGGGTGCAGCTCTGTTTTCAGATAAAAAAAAAAAAAAAAAATTTAAAACAAATAAAATTAAAATGTGATCATACAGGTAGATAAAAACATACGTTTTTTTCCAAAAAATCCGAAATGTTTATTCTTTGCGCTCTTCAGAGGTTTACATGCTGAAGATGATTTTTGTGCATTTCTTCTTGCTCCTTCAGTCTTAACCCATACAGCTACGACGAAAGCTGCGTGTCAAGCAGCGTGGACCACCTGCCGCTGGCCGCCCTGCCGCTGCTCGCCATTGTTTCTCCGCGCTACCAGGACGCCGTCGCCACCGTCATCGCCCGCGCCAACCAGGTGTACCGCAGCTTCCTGCAGTCCGACGACGGGCAGGGCTTCTCGGGAAAGGTGCGTGCATTTGCTCTTTGGGCGATTGTTATTGGTTTTTGTGCCTTCTTTGTTGCCGAATATCAAAAAAAAAAAAAAAAACTGTGGCGGTGACTCACCACTTGCGAGATGTTATGACACTTTGTGAATAATGCAGCGCAAGGTTGCACAGTACAGTTGATCCCGACCCCATCCCGCCACGCGCCTGCTGTAGTGAAAAAGTCAAGTGATTATTGAAGCTGGAGTTGATTGTTAAGTGACTTGACCAAATTTTACTCTACAATTTGACTTATGACTATGAATTGTTGCGGAGGTTGATTTTTTTAAATTTATTTTTTGGTCATCCAAAGTTTGCTTCTTCGCCACAGTTCACAAAAAGCCTCTTGCAGGAGTCGATACAGTCTTGATTAGCCAATCAAGCAAGGGAAAGAATCAAGAGCTGCGGATTAAACGTGGCAAAGGTGATTACAATAACGGTACAATAACGATCTCCCCTGTGGCTATTGTTCTTGATTTGTTCGAGTCTTGTGGCGACGCAATGATCTCAGTGACTGCACACCAAATTTCATGGGGTGCATTTTCCTCTCATGGGAAATGATACTCCATAAAAGACTGTATTTAGTCCCAGCCGAATCGGAGTAAAATTTACACTTCGGAAAGAATTAAGTATTCAGCATAAATTTTACTGAAAGTAGTGGATTAATTGTACGACAAATGATTAAAATCTGCGGAGTAAGGAGACTGTGATCGATTCTGGAGATTTAGTCCTGCATTGTTTATACACAATAATTGGGTTTTAATGAAGAGAATTGATTATTATATTTGTCTTTGCTCAGTGTTGTAATTGTAATAAACCTCCCGGGTACGAGCAATGGAAACAGACAACAGGAGACTACACAAATGATTAAGCAGAGGAGCTCATTTCCAGCTAATAAATTGGAACCTTGACTTAATGTTCAAAGTCACCAGTCAAAGTACACTGCAGTCTATGTAGGAATAGTTGTTCCCATTGTATTTCTGTCAATCTTTTATGTGATGTGTTCTGTTGTATTATTGTTATTTTCTGTTAAAAGTTATAGAAAGCGTTTTGTTACAGCTGCAGCTGTTTTGAAAGCGCTATATAAATAAAGCTGTATTGCACTGCGTAGGGTCCGTACTTTATTTAAAAGTCCCATGCCGTCAAAATCCAAATTTTCCACTGTTTTATACATAACATAGATTAAAGTTCATCTGTGACATTCAATTAACCGTCTATGTGACTTGTCATTTGCATGCAACAGGCTTTGAAAGGCAAAGGCCTGAAAAATGAGCAAATTTGAATTCTGTAATGGTGTACATGTGTGACTCATTTAAGTACCTGCTGACTCAACTCAAGAAAAATGGCTAACAGCAACAAGGAAACTGCGTCTTGTGCGAAGCCGATCGTGCCATTCGATGAAAGACATATCTTTGACGCTTATTTTCCTGCAGAAGTTACAAAACAAACATTTATACCCCAAGAGTCCATGTAAATCCTTCTTTTAAAAATGTAGTGGAGGCTCATTAAAGCATATGTATGCGTGTTGTATGCAGGTGTGCCTAATGGGCGACTGCGTGGGTGGCGTGTTGTGTTTTGATGCGTTGTGCTTCAGCAACCAGCAAAGACCTGGCAGCCCAAACAACAACAACAACAACGCCACCACCAGTGGAAGCAGGAACAACAGCACTGAGAGCCTCAAGGTGATTGTAAATCCTACTAAGATAGGCGCAATTACTGCTCACTGTTGAAATGCTAGCATATGGCAAGGTAGCGACCTATGAATAAAAACCACAAAAGCAGGTCCATAAGGAAAAGCGGAATAGAAAATGGATGGATGAATGCAAATGACATTTATTTAAATGCTAATATGCTAACAGTTGATATTCTAACAATTCTAACAAGCAGCAAGATAGCAACCTAAGTGCAAAATGTGCTAATGTGGAATGACACAGACGCGACATCTTGCCCTGTGGTCAGGTACTCTTTCAAATGCTAACCAATTAAATGGGAACATGACACCAGTTGTTCATGTTGGAAATTGTAGTACAGAAAGAGCTCAGAAATGACAATAAAAATGTAATATCCTGCCCTGAAGCGGGTTGCTACTATTTCAAATGAAAAATGATAACAGGTAGTTTGTTAACATAGCAACTTGACTGCTTGAGTCCAAAAAGCGCCAAGGCATATCAGGTTGTTAAATCATGTCTTGTGGTCAAGTCCTGTTTCCAATAAAAACAGATACAATGCTAATATGCTAGCAGTTTGTTTACTAAAAATGGCCAAATGGTAATATGAAAAATGCCAAGACAGATCGCGATGGATTTGACACCATGTCCTGCGGTCAGGTACTATTTCTCATGAGAATTCATGAAATGCTAACATGCTAACAGTTGATATGCTAACAAATGACAAAATAGTGACCTCAATTCAAAAAGTGCCAAGTATTTTCCATCATTCTACATGTGGTCGGCTACTAATACAAACGCAAAAATGCTGATAGTTGATATGCTGGCAAATAGCAATCTGAGTACAAAAAGTGTGAAGGCGGGTTGCTAAGGATCTTGCGCTGTAGTCAGGTGCTAATATCAATGAGAATTAAGAAACTGCTAACATACAGTACTATAACCGCGTCAGTTCATGTTTTCCTCTCAGGAAAACCCGGGCCTACTTGGAGAGTCCAGTCCAGGTCTAAGTTCCAGCAAAAGGCTAAGTAAGAGCAACATCGACATCTCTGCCCCCAATGAAGGTCATTGCCAGGGGCCGCCATCCCTCAGCCGTAAGCAGAGCGACTCGTACGACGGCGACACGTCGTCCACTGGCCAGCACGTCTTCTTTTCCAGGTGATCCTGACTGCCTAACCCCACCTTCTAATCCTTTCCGCCGAACTGTAACCTTTACTCAAACCACCAACCTCGATTCAAACTATAACTCCCACCCGAACTGAGTCTGTCTCCAGTTAGTCAAAATCTTTTGTACTACCAATCCTGGAACTTCTCTGACACACACCTGCTATCTGCCGTCCAGAATTGCCAGCGTTTACTCCCTCACTCTCAATCTGTCTCTGCGTGACGAGTGTGTTTGGTATTAACATTCCGACCTCGGCGTTCCGCTCTCATCCCGGTCTACCCGGACCGTCTGGCTCCCGCTTTTCATCAATATTTGCAGCCTAACAGGCTGCATCGCACCCTCTGCCATCACTTACTCACCCGTCTGTCTGCGCTATAAATAGTTACTTTGTGCACTCCCTCCTCAGTCATGTAATATATCGGCTGCAGATGGTATGCCATGAATTCACGCGGAACGTCGCAGCGCTCACCTCTGGCTTGTGATTGCGTCGAGAGGAGGTTAGCCTCTGCACTTTTTCTCCTCAGTGGACACGACCGGTCACACATTAGCCGCTCATATTAGATGCCTCCCTCTGTTTCTAACAGCCTTCCCCGATCTTTATTTTTAAAGGCAGCATATTATGGAAAAGTGACTATGCAGAACCGTTCTCACGTCGAAGTAAAACTGCATAGCAGAGCTGTCGTGATGATCGGCGGTGCCTCGTTTCTGATAACAGGCACATGCTGGAAATGTCTCAAGTCATAACCTTCAAGTTTCAAGGAAGTCCCAAGTTGATATATCTTCTTATCTATATATATCATTTTTGTGTTGAATTAAACAGGCCCAAATTTCACACTGAATAAGTCATTGGGTTGGGAAGAGGTGAGCATTATTTCTTTTTTTTTTTTCCCTTTAGCCAAGTGGTGCGCCTTGGTTTAATAAAGGTTGGGAAAGAAGTGCTGCCGCAGTGCTGCCTCGAAGAGATATGAGTAAAAGTTGGCTAATCCCCTTTTCCTGCACAAAACTCAATCTGGAAACATTGGCTTGCTAGAAACTCTGCCCGTCAGCACGAAGGTCGTCGCGGAGGATGAACGCAGGCCCTCAAGCTGCAAGTGTGGTGTTACTGTTGTTATGCATCGTGCGCGTGTGTTTTGTGGCTGAGTCATGGAGGAGAGATGCTGACAACTGCCCCCGGATGCTCATCCAGTGTGATCATTAGTCACATTTGTATATGATGATGAAATGTAAAAAAAACAAACAAACACTTTTAAATTCAGTCGTTGAAGACTTTTAGCTTTAAAAACAACAACAACTCAACGTTATTTAAAGAGCGCTTTAAAAATAACCACAGCTGCAGATGAGAAAAAAATGGTTTGGGTCTCAAATTTTCAACTTGGTTTATCATCATGGATTCAAGCCTGCGTTAAAGCTTCAAATTAGGGTTATGGTAATAAATTTGGGTTTCATAGTCGTCTTAGGCTTTCAAATGAAGCTTGTCGTATGTCGTGATCTTGCTTGTACTTTGTTTCTATGTGCCCAGTCTGATAAAGGAAAGTGCGGAGGTGCGCGCCAGCAGTAGCAGCAGCCCCAGTCTGCTGCTCAACCCCGGACGCTTTGATTTTGACGTGTCGGACTGTTTCCTGCTGGGTTGTCCCCTGGGTCTGGTGCTGGCCATGCGCCGCACCGTGCTGCCCGCCGTCCAGGGTGAGAGCGCCACACTCTTACAGCATGATGTGTGCTTGCATCAGTCCATCACCACTGACTTTCAACTATGTGCAGACACCATTTTTTTTTTTTTAACTGGTGTTGGATTAAAAACTCCACCTTAACAAAGAACAGAAATTTTTAAACGTAAGGGTTTCAAATTCGAGTTTTAAGCCTAAATCTGTGTTTCAAACTAGTGTTTAACGGCAGGTTCACGATTTCAAATGAGGGCTTCGGAGTCGGGTTTTGTGGCAAGGTCATGATCTCCAATTACTTCATACACACAGACACACACGCCACACGCACAAGTTCTGCTGCTTTCAGGGGAATACTTTAAATATATATATATATTGATGATGATAATAATAACCCATTTTTTTGCAGGAATTTATGCGTACAATGATTCAGAGTCTTCGATGGATGCTGTTGTCATATTAAATGTGACATAACTTTTTTTGCAATCCACCACCAACATCCGCGGATCTGCGAATCTGTCTGCCTGCGCCTCAATCAAATTCACCAAAATTGCGGTACACCACACCTGCGCCGCCTGCGTTTCACCTGGTCTGAAATCTGGTATGCTTTCTGTCGCCAAATTATCGGGTGCGCTGGGAAAAACACGCTCGGTCTGCTGGAGTGCCCAGCAAGACGCATCACGGTCTGCCAAATTCACAAAAATGGTAAAACAAGACTTGCCGTTGCTGTGGCACAAAAATGAAGATGCGTGTGCGCCTGTCTATGAAAATACTGCCCAGGGTTTCAAGCCTGGGTTAGGGTTACTCACAGGAGTAAGGACTTAAAATTTGAGTTTACATTGCTTTAGGTTCTCAACTTAGGGTTTCAAATGAGGATTTATGATCTCAATTTGTGGTGTCAAGCCAGGGTTATGGCTTCAAGGGGGTTTTGAAAATAGGGTTTCACTACTGGCTCTGGGTCTCAGGCCTGCGTTGGGCTTTGGCGGTTTCAAGTTAGTATATTTATATACTGCCTTCACAAGAGTATGAATACTGTAAGTATGACCTATTGGTTTAACACTGTTTATTATTTCTCTTGAGCACTGGATCATGCCGGGAGCTATCTCAATTATTGAAGTCATGATATGGATGGTGTCTCCTGCTCACGTCTGTCCTTACGAACGCGTCACCGTCTTTCAGTGCATCAGCTCCATCCGGCCTGCTCTCAGATCTTCAACCTGTTCTTTCCGTCGGACCCTTCGGCCTCCAGGCTAGAGCCTCTGCTGCAGCCTCTTTTTCACAAGCTGCCCCCATTCGCTGTGCCACGCTACCAACGACACCCTCTGGGCGATGGTCGCTCCCTGGTCATAGGTAAGAGGTTTATTTTATTTTTTTATTTTTACTGTGAATTATTGATTGTCATTGTGTTTACTTCTATTGCGCGTAGTGGTATTAATCATGAAGAAGTGGCATTTTGGGACGCATACATTGCGTGCACATTGGTAGTTATCAGGAATCACAGCCAGGAGGAGTGATTTCATTAACCATCAGACAAGTACATTGCACAGGCGTGAGTGTGCGTTTGACTTTGTGGATTATTTCTAGTCATTTTTGTGTGTTTCTGTTTTGTAATGTGGAGGTTGTAAATAACTGATGGGAGGAGTGATTGCATTCATTATGAGTTGTACAAATGATATCGTGTGTGTACATCTGCTGTGGCCTTTTTTCTTTTTCCGAGTCTGTATTATTTCTGTTTGATGTGTACATTTACATTGTGCAAAATGGTGGTTATTCCGAATCACTGGCAAGAGGAGCGATCACATTGATAATATGATGTGTAGATTGCTTTTTCTTTGGCTTTTCACTCAGCATGACTCAGACTTGATCTTAGATTTTCCTGTTCTGAAGCTTTCTACTGTCTTCGTTATTAGTTAATTGTTTTATTGTTTATTGTTGTATATATGATATTTGCTCTATGTACAGCACTTTGTATACAGCGGTGGTAGTTTTAAATTGCTCTATAAATACAGTTGAGTTGAGTTGAGAGCTCTGTCAGAGTAGTAGTAGTAGTATTGCTCAGTTGCATGCGTCTGAAAGTGCACTGGACATTGTTTTTTATTCTACGGATTATTTCAAAATGTGATTTACTCTCTTCTTTATTTCTATTGCGCAAGTTGACAGTTATTATGAATTACTGATGACATAAACCACCGAATTAATCATTTTTAATTACCCCTGTGGATTATTTATTGTCGTCGTGTTCATTTTGATTGTCCACGGTGGCAGTTAGCAATTTGAGCCGCACCACAGTCCACCTCTTCCAAATATGCCAGGGCCAAAACGCAAAGTGGCCCGAATGGCTAAATGTGACTACTCTGACAGAGCTTGAAAACTCTGACGGGATTCTAAGCTCGAAATGACGTTGCGCTCTCCTCCCCACTTTGATGGTCGTACAAAGGATGAAAAGCCGGCAAAGCATCAACAGCTCTCCACTAAAATGTAATTAAAGTTTAATAAGTGATGAGCACGTTCAAGTGGAAAATGAATTACAGGATTAATTTTACAGCACAGCTCAAAGTAGTTTGAAGGTCTTCCACGCCCACAAACTTTAGCGTGTCCTATTCTTCGTCTTCTTCAGCACACACGCATACGGACGGGCAAAGTCGCACACATGCCTGCAGCAAAATTTGGAAACATGCCGAGAAAATGATTTATTCAGAAATGTTATGGAACATTGACTTTGTGTCCGAGTGGCCAAGGGGTTTTTTGATGTTCAATAAAAGCGCATCTGTATTTTTCAAATAGAGGAGTCTTTCCCGATGAAACCCATTCATACCTAATAAAATTGACTTTTATTTTCTAATTTCTATTTTATGACATTATATCGATAAATATAAAAAGCAGCCAATAAGGTCCATTATACTTTTATTTCAATGCCGGATTAGATTAGTCTTTTTAATAAGGAAATATTTGAATGACTCTTTGTTACATTTATTCAGTCATTCATTTACCTCATTCACTTCATTTCTTTTTCAAACCAAGGTAACGATTTAAACCACTAGTGTATTTATTTATCTGATATTTTGTTTTTTTATGAAACATGTCAATAATGAATATGATTCAAATGTTATACGATTCATGTCTCTAACGTATTATTTCTAAATACACTTTGGAGGCCGCGGCATGCTTAACCCTGGCAAGTGAAGCTGAGGCCCCCCGTCCTTTTTTTTTTTTTTTTTTACGATCGGTGCAACAGCTTTTGCGTCACCCTCCAATAAAAAATGAATTGGCGACATCATTATTCTGCCTCTGTTTTTCTTTTCTTTTTTTCCCCCGCAACACTCGTCTTCCTGCCTTTTTTATTTCCGTGCGTGCTTGGGGACTGAGGCGTCGTGTCTGAGAAATGTTGCTCAGGAATCAGAGTAACGCTCTTCTCTTGACGGGCGTCCTCATTAGCCTTTGTGATGCATTTGTAGTCACATGCGAAGGGAAGCAAAAAAAAAAACAAAAATACCCAAAACTTGAGGAATCCGAGTGAGGTGCTAATCTACTTTATCTGCCTTCTGTCTTCATTACTGAAACAAATCCACTTTCAATGGGGCCTGGACTGAGAGGATTTATATATCACACCCGAAGCTCGGGATCATCTGGATTCTCGGGGTCGGAACAACGAGCACATCTGTTGCTTTATGTTGCTTTCCCAAAGTCGTCTATTTTTTTCCTCGCAGGAGAGCGGAGGGATTGTACAAAGCCGCATACAAAGCATAGTACACGTTTTTTCGACTGATTGCTACCTTGGATTTTTTTTTTTTTCCCGAATGTCAAGACAGCTCAACATTTCGTCTAAGTTGGACACATTGAAAGAAGCTTTTGTGTTGATTGGAAGAATTTGTATTGAAGTCCTGTGCTCTGTGAACGGAATAAAATGCCTTTCTTTCCTGTTTGTGTTCTTCCCTCCCGGTCCATTGTCCTTTCAATCTTCTTCATCCTACCCGCTGTCCGGTTGGCTGCACATGAAAGTCAATCGACCCGAGTGACTCCCCAGACTTGAGACTTGAGTCATGACTTGTTTGTGACACACGCAGAAATGTATCGATTAGATCCTACACAGATGCGTGTACAACATTGTTTCAAAGCTGCTCAGATGGCTTAAATTTTTACACGCAAAGTTGCGGTCAGGTCATTAGCGATGGAGCACGCAAGCAAGGCACGAACAAATAACTCAAGGGTTTCACGTAAGGGGTTGAAACCAAAATTTGGGTTTCATATTAAAATTCATTCCCTGCCATCGACGAGTATTGTCAACTATGTTTCTAGACAGGGATGGGTGGAGGAGGGTTTGATGCTGCTTCACTGCAAATTTCAAAATTGGTAGAAACTTGACTGATGCTCAACCACCAGTAGATGGCAGTGATCACCATTTTAGATATGAAATGAGACAGGTTGATGAATTGAGAGTTTGGTGTCTGGGTCCGATGTTGTGGTATCATGTTAGACTTTCAAAACAAGGTGAGGGTTTCAAATTAGTAGTTCAAGACAGGGTTAGGGTTTGAAGTTAGGATTTCAAACCAGGATGATGGATTTACTTTAGGGTTCTTTTTTTTTTTTTTTTGATGGATTCACAGTTGGTCTTTAAGCTGGGGTTAAGGTTTCAAATTTGGTTGAGGTTTAATTTAAGGGTTTAAAATTGTGGTAAGGGTTTGAGCCAGGATTAGGGTATTAGGGTTTCAAGAGATGGTTGGAGTTTCAAGTTAAGGGTTAAAGCTAGCTTTAGGGTCTTACTTTTCCAAATTAAGGTCCCACATTGAGTTTCTAGGAAAGGTTAGGGTTTCAACTTTGAATTTGGGTTGTTTCAAAGAATTGCTTCAAACTGGGCTTTGAAGCCAGGGTGAGCATTTCGGATCAAGTCTTAAGGTACGTTCTCATCAGCAAATAATCCTTTTCCAAATGATCGCAGTCCGAGCAGAGAAGAAACAATGTCTTTACTATAGATGTCCTCAATATTCACCGAAATAACAGCATCCATGTCAAAAATGTATTGATCCACGCCTGAGTGATCAATTCCTTTCTCTTTGTCCTGTGGGAAGGTGACAGTATCCAGGGCCATCCCGATGTGTTTCTGGAGGGCGAGCAGACCCCTGGAGTTCCTCAGTCATCCTCTGAGGAAGGAGGTCGACGGGCCAGCGTGACCAGCATGGAGAGTCAAATGTCCATCGGCTCCATCGGCCATCACCTGGGTGGTGCTATCGCCAATAGTGAGTGTGGAGGGGGTTGATGATGGGGAGGGGCAATGAGAGAGGATGTCTTCTCGTCTGGGTAGTTATGTTTGCTTTGGTGTTGGAAGTTTCTAGTAGCTGGTGGGGCTCAAAGAGGCTGGATTATTCCCTCTACTGCCCGGACGTGTTGACCGCCTTCCCCACCGTGGCGCTGCCACACCTGTTCCACGCCTCCTACTGGGAGTCCACGGACGTCGCTGCCTTTGTACTTCGACAGGTAGGCCCAGTGACGGTCTCAGGTTATTAAATGATGATCAAACTCAGATCCTAATCAAACATCTTGTGTGGCATCCTCAGGTAGCCCATTATAGACTAAAAGTGGTATGGTTGAGTCATAAACGGTATTCTTGTTACGATTGCTGAATGTGATGACAGTCATACAGCATATTTTTTTCTTATCTTATATGCAGAATTCAAGCGGCTTTTTAATCAGATAAAGAATTCCATGGCTGATACACTGGGGTATAATAGTAACTGACACAAATGAGAACGGTTCAAGCCTGGTTTAAAGTTTCAGACAAGGGTTGGGATTTCAAATTAGAGTTTTTGGCCGGCGTTTAGGATGAAATGGGTCAAATGGGGGTTTCAGATGTGTTTGGGTTTTTAGTTAGCATCTCAGGCCTTGGTTTTAAATCAAGTTTTTTTTTCACATTTGGCTTTTGCCATTCCCTTCATTCTTGCTCCCATTATATAATAGTGTTACTTTATTAATAGCGTCTTCTGTGCCACAAAATGGAGCAAACTCTGTTCTGGTACTGTAACAATTGCTGGTGTGTGTCAGCCAACTTCATGAATTTATTAAACTTCCCTCCTGAACTGCATTCATTCATCTGTGAGGACTTTTCGCATCCATCAAGTGTGAGGGATAATCGACAGCATTAAGAGCATGAAAGCCGGCAAAAGCTTACAAAGTTTAACACCGTCTATCGATCCATCACAGCTGACATGCACAAAATCAATTGTGTGCTTTTATTCACTTACCTTGGGGCAAGTAAAGTAATGTGCAAAAAGCTTGCTGTGTTCTCAGGATTTAACACAAGAGGGACAGATCTAGTTGATATATGAGAGAAAGGCCACTCTGACAAAAAAAAAAAAATAATAAAATAAGCGCAAGAAAATGAGCGGCGCAAGGGAACAATCCCAAGCAAACAAACGGGGCATGAGGGACAAACACACAAGGTCATTACAAAATAAGACACGTGCAATACATGGAAACAAACAGCACTACAATTAGGGAATATGCATTTACTGAAACTGGAACACTGGAACAAAAACGGAACACAAGGGAACAAACAAAAGGAGACGAGACACATCCAAAGAAGGGAACAAAAAGTGCAACACATGGGGAAACAGATGAGAAAACGCGGGAACCAACGGGGTAGCAATTTGAAACAAATAGTGGCACAAACACGAAACAAACACAAGTTTGACACCTGTGCCATAAGAAGCAACGGGGGGTTAACAAAGGGAACAAATAAATTGATGCGAGGATAAAATCACAGTTGTCAAGATATTTAAGGACAAAGAAGAGGAGGAAAAGGATGAAAAATAGGGATCAAGTAGTCAATAGAGGAGACACTAAAAAACGAACAAGTGGGGAAGAAGATGCACGTGGGCAACAGGTTTCTGTCTCTGAAAACATCAAGAACGTTCTCTGAGAAGAAGAAAAGAAAATCCATGATTAAGAGCCACAGAGTCCACGGTGTGTCTGTTTTTGTGCAAACCGTGAGCAGAATAAGGAATCAGACGGCACCACCAAGATGCTATCCACACCAATTTAACTGAGTTCGCCTCACATCAAAAGGTTCGCCGCACGACTCAAGGACCCGCGCAGCAGACGAGCTAATTTGTGGGAATCAGGCAGAATCACGTCTTTTATCTTTTATGCTCCTATCTATCTCTCGCCTCAACAAAAGCGTCAAGGTTCAGGCCAATCCTAAAACGCTTGGCCTGTGTTTCAAGTATAGAGCCACAATTTCCATCTCGTATATTCAAATCGTATCCAAGTACCGGTATATTCAAATCGTTGCTTTCACTTGTATGACTTGCTTTCCGATAAAACAACGCTTCAAGGTTTCTTCAACTGCAAATCGCTCACCCAAACAACCACCAGACCACTTTACATTTGCATTTATTTTAAAACGGGGATTGAGAAATATTCATGTGTGTAACTCTAGGGATCCGCCGGATTAAAAGGGTCATGGTGGTCGTGTATAAGGATACCCAACGGTTTTGGATTTTTACATTTCTCGGATCCTGGTAAAAGATTTCGATGTAGAGCAGCCGTTGGCCAACTCTATTATGCTATGCTATTATTCAGCATCTCAAGAGACAGCACACCCACACAAAAATAGCAAGTCAAAGCGAAACACACTTGCAAAAACATTTTCAAAACGTCATTATACAAGAGCACTATGATAAAAGACACTCCAGCCACCTTGAGACTTTTAATTCAGTGCACCCCAAGTTTATGGATCGCTGTTTTAAAACACTGGCCTGAAGGATTTTTTGTCAGTGTTTCCATTGTGTCACTTTTGATTATTGGTTCACAGCTCATGCGGTGCGACTTCACAAAGACGCAGGAAGCGGACGCTCTGGACTCAGCCCCCTTCTCTCCCTCTAGCCCGCGAGAAAAGTGGCTGCGACGGAGGACGCATGTCAAACTGAGGGTATGCAGCACTGTCCTACTCCCCCCCCCCCCCCCTCTGCGTGGTTACATGTTGAATAGACTCCAGATATCCTAAAAATGCAAGGAGCATTGACAGCCGTCGTCGTAACAATGCTGACTCCAGGTCTTAGTATAATTAGGCCTTGACACGTTCAAGCTGGAGGACACTTGCAATTCTTCATCACCGCCAAGGTTCTGGTGACGAACACAATCTAGATAGCGATGCCCTTCACCCCACCAAGCCTCAGTTGTCGCTGCCCATTTCAAAAGGTGGGAATTTATTTCGCCCCGCTTTGTCCTTCTCACTCTTCTATAAATAGAATTGTGTCCGCGGAAAACCATGGTAACACGGCTGCGGTGCATTCCATTCCATCACATTTCCCATTGGATATGGTTAAAATATTATAAACCAGTGGTGTCAAGCATACGGCCCACGAGCGGTAACCAGCCCCCAAGGAGGTTCGATCAGGCCCGCAGGATAATTTATAAATGAAAAAAATGCATAAAAGACACGGAATTAATATTTTCAATAAGATGCAATTCATGGATTATCCGCTAGGGGGCACATTGTTTTCTTTTTAGTTTGTAAAGTGTAGGCAGGGATTAAATTTAGTGTGTAGTGCAACTGTGACAGCAGCTTTGCATGTTAGCCAGACCTTGGCCTCATGTTCCTGGACACTTGTTCCCTGCCCGAGTGTGAGAGTTTATAATGGCACGTGTCTGATTCAATTTGGCTGCTGCCTGCTCATCCAGCGCAGAGCCTCAGTATTTCGAGACTTGTTGTATTCCCGACTCCCCCTGCACTTAATAAAAAGGGTCCACGTCCCAGCTGGAGCCACCGGTGTGCTTGTTGGCTCGTGCTCTTTCCCAGTCAGGGGTCTCGCCCACTTATCTCTCCCGGAGAAGTGGTGGCTGTAAAGTGTAGGCAGGGATTAAATTTAGGTTTTATATGCACATGTGTAAATGGTTTTAAAAAATCCTTTCTTTATAAGTCTTTTTTAATCTTAAAATGCATGACTATATTTTTCAATACCATTTACTTGTTAAAGTAAATTGCACATTTGTCTAATGAAGTCTCAGGTGTTTCATGAATTATTTTGTAAAAGATATGTTCATTCAATTTCAACATTTTCCTAATGTTCTTGTGCTTCACTATACCAAAACAAAGGAAAGACATTATATTTTGGTTATTTATAGCAGAGTATAGGATCATTTCAATGATCCGGCCCACCTGACATCTACCGTGGCCGTATGCGGCCCGCAATGTGAAATCGTTTAAACGTGAGTGTTCAACCCCTTTGAACCCTGTTGCATCTCTTCCCAGAGAACAATTTTACAGTATGTTTGTGATCAGGTGGGGGGGGGCTTGATGTTTAGTGCAACTGTGACAGCAGCTTTGCATGTTAGCCAGACCTTGGCCTCATGTTCCTGGACACTTGTTCCCTGCCCGAGTGTGAGAGTTTATAATGGCACGTGTCTGATTCAATTTGGCTGCTGCCTGCTCATCCAGCGCAGAGCCTCAGTATTTCGAGACTTGTTCCATTCCCGCCTCCCCCTGCACTTAATAAAAAA